TCTGTCTGTCTCTCTCTCTCTCGCTCTCTCTCTCTCTCACTCTGTCTGTCTCTCTCTCTCTCGTTCTCTCTCTCTCTCGTGCTAGCTAAATCTTCTGTCGTAAAAAAAAGAAATGGCATGCCAGGGAAATCGAATCAGTCAAATGTTGGACGAAAAATGTAATTCAGGAAACAGTTCGGTGACGGCGAAAATGGCTCCAGATAATTTATAATTTACATTGTTGTTAGTGCTAATACAGCTTCACTGAATGCATGCCCCCCCCCTCGCTACAAATCGCTCATGTGTTAAAATGAGTAGGGATAAAAAAAAACCACTTAAATAGTCATTATTTTACAGTACAAGTACAGTATAAAAAGTTACCAACAGGTTCTTGCAAAATTCTGATAGCATACATTTTGCTAAATCACGTCACCATGATCTCCTCCCAAGGCCATAATAAAAAGATTGTTTGTTTGCCCTCACCCGACCGACCCGCCAAAAAAAGGCCGACTAAAAAAAATTTATTGATCTTTCCCATTCTTTTTTTTTTTAACAATTTGTATCACTGTTACTGTACATTATATAAATCTGTAGGCAATACATTATAATATGTACCAAGCAAAACAAACATTCAACATAAAAGGTATCTCCACACAAGCACACCCGCCGTCACCATGCTGAATTTGTAAAAAGACCATCCTCAAAAAAAGAAAGAAGCCTACCTACCTACCCAAACTTTTCAGCCTGGGTCGGGTGAAGGCAAACAAAGATTTTTTTTTTAATTGTGGCCCAAGGCGTTTTCATGCGACTCACGCACAAATGCAAAGCTGCACGAAAAGAAAAGATCATTTTTCCGTTCCAGTACTTAGCTACACTACAGCGCACCTTCCAGCCCCCATATTTGCCCACGTTCTTAACTGAACTGTTCTAGGCTGACCAGCGCTACCGGCTGGGGTCACGTACAGCAGAACAGAGGCTGGATGGCCCGCATTCCACGTCCGATAACTGACTGACACTCCCATAAGGGTTGAAACGCCGCAAACGGCAGCTGCTTCTACAAGAGAAGTAGAGAGGGCACCTGAACTGGGGAAGCTTTTGCCTCAACAGGCAAACCTGTAAAACTAAATAAAAATCATTACGAGGGCTGACAGCGCACGCGGGATTACCGTACGGAGAAAATCACGCGCAGTGTCTTGAAAGGGAAATGGCCGTGCCATATGGGACTCTGGGGGAAACTAGCACTCAATGAAATAGAGCCATTGCTCGGTCGTGCTGCTCTTGAACATCCCTAACTGTAATACCTACATTTAATAGCACCTCCCACTATCGCATCCACCCACCCCGCCATTCTCTCCACAACAGCACCCTTGCACAAATCCGTGCACACCACCCCTGCCTCCCTCTAACTCCTCAACCGAATTCATTCTGCCCCTCCATCGCCCCTCCCCGCCTCTCCTCCCGCCCTCTTTGTTCCGCGCTCGCTTTCTCTCTGCGTGTGTGTTTGTGTGCACGGCCTCCACACATGATTTCAGCATTCAATCTGACTCTTCGTTAAGCTAAGTTTCCGACGTGGTAGATACAGGGGGCCGCGCATCGCATCGTGCCGCTCTTCTCGTCTCTCATCTGGAGAAAAAAGAACAGAAATGATTCCGAATTAGAAACAGGAATAACCAACAAGCTCCCGATAACTCGCGCGCCCGCCCCGACCTCCCGCTCTAGTTTTGCGCCTGCGACGTAAAGGCCCGCCCCCCGTAGAAGCCATTGTCGTTGCCGCGGCGACGAGAAGAGGGCTAGGTGCCGTCGCCGCGGCGGTGACACCTATCCTTCTCTCGCGGAATCTCCGCGCGGTCAAACGCACGGCGATTCTCGGGTAAAATATTGCGGGACCGCGCTTGCACAGATGGAAGCGCCGCGTCACGGCGAATATCTCCCTGCGAGAATCACTCGCGGGGATTTTCGACCGACGCGGGCAAGCCATATTGGGGGAGCACTCGCACTCACGCTCGCGCGAGTACCGCACTTGTTGGTTATTCACATTTCAGAATCACCCGTTCTTCGCGCGCACGCGAGAAACCTGCTGCGCACGCCCCCTGGCGAGCGCGGACAGCGCACTCTTCAAACAAAAGTCGACACACTAGGGGAGACCAGCTGACATGCCAAACGACGGCATTCCCTCTGCGATGCGATTTCGCGAAAAAGCGGTCGCACAGGACAAAACCGACGACTCAAAATTCCCGGAAAACCACTGCGCAGCTTAAAGGCTCGCATATCTGCTGTAACCCGCCATCGAAACCCACGTTCTCAGCTCAGACGCTCACGTGCTACTAAAGGTTACCTCGGTAGAATGTTTGCACTTCTCGACACGGTAGTTTATCCTTAGCGGATATAAATAGCTACAACTCGTCGTCGGCAGCGTACATTCAACGTTGGCAATGACGCATCAATCTATCCGCACTCCCCGAGCTCAACTTTAACCAACTACGCGAAAGATTATAATTGAAACCGCATCAAAGTCGCACGAAAAAAACGTAAATATTTTTAGTCTGCAATGCGTCTACGGGCAGGGAGTTATCCACAGTGGCACTGAAGCCACAATGCGATGTTCCAGACCGATTACGTTTCACAAAACTTCTGTCGGTAGTAAAATTACGAGTAAGTAAACCACACTCGTGTATGCAGAAAATAGTCGAACATTGCTGTATTGCATTTCAATAGGTTTATTGACAGACTATCGACAGTGCAACAAAAAAACAAGTGCGCCATTAGGTTTATTGATAGACTATCGACAGTGCAACAAAAAAACAAGTGCGCCATTAAGGAAGCCTAAGGAATATGCCAAGAACGTGGATTTCAATGATTATTCTAACAGATGTTGGTTGTTAAATTAATCATTGAATTTTTTGCACAATATTTTCATGTATGTCCGTCCCTTTAACTAAGTTTAGTGTCTCACACAATAGAGTTCATTAGGTTTCGATCTTCTGTACGATCACATGGAGAGAGGGGGAGTGAAGGAGAAAGAGAGAATTAGAGGGAGAGGGGAGAGAATGAGAGAGGAAAAGAGAGCGAGAGAGCACGAGAAAGTGGGAAGACGGAGATGGCTGCATGTGGAGGCACTGGCAGGATGAAAGAGCACACAAATGGTTCTACGCCACATTATAGTATACGCACGTATCAACTCTACAGAACAACGCAACGCTAAAATTTTTACCGACACTGTACACTGTCACCGCCAGATATTTCGCTGCAGAAAAATCAATGCACAGACCCAGGCAAGCCAAGGCACAGGACAAGACAAGGTCCCAAGTACTGCAAAGCAGCACACATGGTGGTTACTAGCAAAGCGTGCACTGGCACAAGTTCAAGGCCATGTAGTCGCATCCCACGTAGAAACAGCGAGAGAGAGAAGGGGAGAGAGAAGCAGAGGGAGAGGAGAGGGAGAGGAGAGGGAGAGGGAGAGAGGGAGAGAGTTACGGAGAGAAAGAGAGAGGGGGAAGGAGAGGGAGAGAGAGAGAGAGAGAGAGACGAGAGTAGACGAGAGATGAGAGAGAGAGAAGAGAGAGAGAGAGAGAGAGAGAGATAGAGAGAGATGAGAGAACAGAGGAGCCGAGAGGGAGAGGAGAAAGTTACGGGAGAAAGAGAACACAAGAGGGAAGGATAGGAGAGATAGAAGGAGAGATAGAGAGAGCAAAGAGAGAGAAGAAGAGAGGAAGAGAGAGAAGCGAGAAACGAGAGAGAGAGGGAATGTAGAACGCAGATGAAAGAGGGAGAGAGTTACCGGGAGAGAGACGGAGGGGGAATGAGAGAGAGAGAAGAAGAGGGATAGGGAGAGCCAGGGGAAGGGGAAGGAGGAGAGGGAGAGGAGAGGGAGAGGAAAGAGGAAGAGAGGAGAGGAAAAGAGAGAGAGAGAGAGAGAGAAGAAAACACCAGAAGAGAGAGAGAGAGAGAAGAGAGAGAGAGAAGAGAGAGATGGAGAGAGAGAGAGAGAGAGAGAGAGAGAGAGAGAGAGAGAGAGAGAGAGAGAGAGGAAGAGAGAGAGAGAGAGAGAAGAGAGAGAGAGAGAGAGAGAGAGAGAGAGAGAGAGGAGAGAGAGAGAGAGAGAGAGAGAGATAGAAAAGTACAATAGGAGAGATGAGAGAGATGAGTTGTGAGAGAAGAGAGAGAAAGAGAGCGAGAGCGCATCTATTTTCTAGCGCATTCTCTCCGGGCTGAACAAGCCTTTATCGAACCAGACAAAAAGTGTGCGTTAGGCTAGACACGGGATGAGCCTGCACAGTAAGAAAAACAAATGATGTGGACTATTCGCGAAAGCATATATATTTGTTACTTGCACAAGGGCTGAGTAAAGTAGCCGTATTTGGCGAATAGCTATCTGACAACGACATAACGGCACAACGAATGATACTGAAAGCGGCATTTCGCTTGCTGCTAACACGCATGGCTGGACACATGTATACATACACTCCCGGATTTGTTCCCACACTGGTGTTGTTAAGACCGTAGGTATTAACAAAATACAAGCATCAAACACAGTTTTTAAGCATCAAGGTGGGAAGTGACCTACATTCGGTGTGTACAGTATCTGTCTGTATGTGTACCCGTTTTTACTGCATGTTAGACTGTTTAGTGTTACAGGCACGGTGGAAGTCCGAACTACTGCCTAATTTCCATATTGGATATAACCAAATGAAGATTTGTATTTTGTTATAATAATTTCTTATATTATGTGCAACTGTCTATTCTAGGCGCTGCAAAAGCAACAGAACTAATGGAGTATGGACTGGGATACTCATTATGACGGTTAAAAGATGATCGAGAATGTGGATTTAAAAAGTACGGTAAAAAGAACCTGAGTATTAGTTGTAACAGTTATACAGTTATTACTACGCAACTGTTTTTAACTCAGAGGCTAGACCGTGTAAGAATACGATAATCGAGTGGAAAGAACAGACAAACTTTAGTATTTATTGATAGATATCCAGTAGTTTCGTTACCAAGTAAGCCGGCATCGACAGAGGAACTCAGACCTGTACGTAACTTTTCGTTTCACAGAGTTCTGGGGGATCGTGGCTTCGGGAGTGACGATGCTTCATGCGTGTGTTTCATAGCCCGAGCGACCACGGTTGGTGCGGCGTTCCTGCGCTGCAAAAGCAGTTGTCCGGCAGGCGCCCGCTTGGGCCAGTCTAAACTAACCCCCCCCTCCGATAATTTCGCTCTGTAACCAAATTACTGTATAGAGATTACTTCAATACACAAACACCCCCTGGATATCATTAACAATCATGTCGCGATTAATCGACCACGAGCTTAATACAAACTTCAGGCAAAATCGTAAGCCGTTAGCGGAACAGTCTAGAACTAACTACGGCGGCCAATCCTTGCAAAAAAACGACCCTTGGCGCAGGCGCACATAGGTACACAGAGAGAGAGAGAGGAGAGCAATATAGAGCAAGAAAAGAGACAAGATAGAGAAGAGCGAAAGAGGAGATGAGAGAGCGAGAGAGATGAGCCGAAGGCGAGAAGAGAGATTAGAGAGAGAGAGAAGCAGAGAGAGAGGAGAGAGAGAGGAGAGAGAGAGAGAGAGAGAGAGAGAGAGAGAGAGAGAGAGAGATGGACGTGAGCCTACCTGAATAGTCATCTCCGCGTTGACGGAGGTCAGCGTTTCGACCTCGACCCTGCTCCGATGGATCGTCTGCCGGCACGAGCGAAGCTCCACCTCCAGCTCGCTGATGCTGGCCAATAGCAACTCTTCCCTGGTGGCCGTCTCGTGCAGCAGACTCTCCTCGTGCACAACGCCATCTAGTGTCACTTTTTTCTGCGAGATGTTGACTTTTTGCAACGCCTGAAAAACGACGGCGGAGAAAAGGCGTGAGTTTGCACGAATGCAGCGAGCGAGCAGAAGAGCAAAAAATGCATTTTTTTAAATGCATGTGGGAGTTAACACTAGCAGGGTCCTCGCTGTGATGAAATTAAATTCATAGGTCTGATATATTTACAATGTCGCCCTGTCTGCCTAATTGAGAAGTGTGTCAGCAGGACAGTTTGACAGAACCTAAAACGAACAATTTGGACAACATTTTACCACTGCCTACTTCTCCACCGGACAGATAGCAAAATTATGGAGATTTCATCCTTTCTAGTTGCAAACCTCTAGTAGTCTTGTAGCCTAGCAGTGATTCCGTCTAGTGAGTACAGTAAAATCTATCCCGACAAAATAAACTTGGAAGCCCCAATCGACCAGTCTGTACGTTTCAAATCAGAACACCATATATATGGGAAACTTTCATTTTTCCCGACCAGAAAACGCGAGGGAACTTCTTGCGCCGCCACACGCGAGGTAACATCGACAAGCAGGGCTTAATTAAACTAACGATGCAGAAAATAAATTCTCGGAGTCTTAGCTGTCGCGCGCGTATGGAAGAGTGCTGCTGCTGCTGCTTGCAACAACTCTGCCTGCACCATTGATTTCACGCATGCACGCGCTGCAGCGTCGGCATTCGGAGATCCTCATTAGAAACCATCCGACGCGCGATTGTGGACTCGACGTGCATTTTAGCAATTAGCGCAGAGTTCTGCCCTGCCTCCAGCCGCCTGCTGGAAAACTTTCAACGGTTTCAGCTATTTCTCATTCGTACCTGCAGCGCTTCTGTGTGTGCATGCGTGCGTGCATGTGAGTACATAAACGTATATATATATAAATGAATATATCGATCAGAAGTAAATAATCCCAAACTGTAAATAATTGATTATTTGCAATTTGCGATTATGTACTCCTGATATATTATATATATATTTATATATAGTCAGACACATATAATAAACAGCAGTAGATACTTAATCAATGAAGACACTAACAGACATTCGATTAGAAGACGGTCGCTATATTCAGACACGCTTCTAACTCACTTTCAGTAACTACTAACGACGCGCGAGCAACGTTCGATCATCGATACCCGCACCTGCCATCTTTCTCTCTCCCTCCGCGCACAAATTCCAAGCGAAGAAAATTCAGTTTGGCTGCGATTGAATTTTGCGGCGAAAAAACATCGCCAGCGATTCGACGACGTTGGCGGTCGGATCGTACCTCCCGCGAGGCGATAACAAGCGAACGCGCGCGCACGAACACATGAACATGCACTGATTAGCCACCTGGCCGTGAACATCGATCACCCGGAAGGTTCGTGGCGCCTGCGCGGCAACGCTCCTTCTTACATCGCCAGATAAACCACAGCGGAGAGAAACAGCTAATCTGCCCCCAGCTCTACCGGTGCAGCCCCTTCGCTCCCGCTACAGCCAGATAAACCACAGCGGAGAGAAACAGCTAATCTGCCCCCAGCTCTACCGGTGCAGCCCCTTCGCTCCCGCTACACCGGTGGAGCTAACCTGCCCCCAGCTCCACCGGTGCAACACCTTCGCTCCCGATACACCGGTGGAGCTAACCTGCCCCCAGCTCCACCGGTGCAACACCTTCGCTCCCGATACACCGGTGGAGCTAACCTGCCCCCAGCTCTACAGGTGCAACACTTTCGCTCCCGCTACACCGGTGGAGCTAACCTGCCCCCAGCTCCACTGGTGCAACACCTTCGCTCCCGCTACACCGGTGGAGCTACCCTGCCCCCAGCTCCACTGGTGCAACACCTTCGCTCCCGCTACACCGGTGGAGCTACCCTGCCCCCAGCTCCACTGGTGCAACACCTTCGCTCCCGCTACACCGGTGGAGCTACCCTGCCCCCAGCTCCACTCTCTCAAACTGCTCTCTCGTCTCTCTCGTACTTCTCTCTCTCTCTCTCTGTCTCTCCTCTCTCGTCTCTCTCTCTCTCGTCTCTTCTCTCCTCTCTCTCTCTCTCTCTCTCGTTCCTCTCCTCTCTCCTGCTCTCTAATCGTCTCCCTCTCTCTCTTCTCTCTGCTCGTCCTCTCGTCTCTCTGCTTCGTCCATCTCTCTCGTCGTTCTCTCTCTCTCTCTCTCTCCAT